AAATATAAATCTGTTCTTTATTCTATGATAGATATAGACACTAACTCTTATTTTTGTAAATTGAACAAAAACTTAGTAAATGCTCGAATATTCAGTGACCGTCCAATTCAAACTCATTTCTGTAACCAATATTTAATATATTTAAAAAGTATTTTGTAATATTTAAAAGGGAAGTAAAATTTCAAAAAAAACTACACACGGCCGACTGCAATTACACAATTACACATCTAAACCACTCAACATATTATCGAAGAGTTGTGTTCAACAAAAGTATTTTCAAACTTCAGCATGAATTTTATTCTATTCTATGCTATATTTTTGCACGTTTTAGTTGCTCCGACATAGAAAAATATTTTAAACAGCTGCCACATCCGTCCAAAGTGCACGCAACTGACAAATGCCAACAATTAGCGAAAACGAGGAAACAAGTCATCGCGTGAGTCAGGGGTGTTAAAACCGAAAATATACTCTCTTGAAATGTCCCCACATGACATTGACGACTGATGAACAAAACAGAGAAAACGAGAACAAAGGCCGCTTCAACATAATAAAGCAAAACGTAATGCATTCTTGAAGCCTAATTAGTAGTGGCGATAGCTGGACATTGCATCATAGTTAAAGTAAGTATAAGCTGAGATTAAAGTTTTAGGTGATGAAGGAAGGAAGATATTTATTTGCACTTGACGAAAGCAAAATCGCTAGCAAATTTTCCAGCTTCTTAGTAGCTCGCAGTTGAGGCTCTATATGCAACATAGCCTCAACTGACCCAAAATTACCATTGCTTATAGATGGATATTCCACAAAATCTATTCTATAAACTGTCTGTACGACTGTCTTTTATAATCCATAATAATATAACCAATAATCTCAACGAAAAATGTATGAGATTTTACCGAAATCTTTTTCGACAAAGCGAACACTGTACACACAGAATTATAATAGTAAAACCATTAGAAACATTTCATTACACCTAAGCTAGCTCTACTGGAAAGAGCCATTGAACAAACCTGTAATAAAGACACACCAATTACAAAACATGCAAACTAAAAAATGAAACAACTCTTAATAAATTAACAAAAAGATGGAACAAGAAAAATACCAACTTCACAAAGATCTCGTTCTTGCTAACCGCATAATAAGAGAAATTGCAGACTTCCTGCAGAAATATAATGGAACGCTTAGTGGAATGTTTGAGCTTTACGAAGTGCTAGTTGAGCCAGTTAAGTCGTACTAACGACCCTTAAAAAGATTACATTGCCTTGCATAGAGCTATTTAAAGTTGAAAACATATCAATATTTATTATCAGTGAATCTTGAATAGAAAATAAATCTATCTGATAGTCGTATCGACACACGACAATGGTACAAGGTTTTACATAAATGTCTCGCAACTCAGGAGAATTCAAAAAGTAGGCAGTGCTGCTAGTGTGAAGGAAAATCCAGACGGCCGCGTAGCTAACATTTTGGGATGCATCAACATAATCTATATTTTAATGAGTAGGAGTCTATGACTTTTAATTTAACTCCACGTTTCATTCACATTTTGATAGTTACTAGTGAGTTGTGAATAATTAAGATGAATTTTCATAGGGGTCTTTATCGCACTGGGTACACCTCCCCATCCCCTCCCATCGGCAGCGACACTAGCGGCTTAGCTCAATAAGACCACGTCGTAATACAGATTTGCAAAAGGTAGTTTTATTTAACAAGTGAAATACAAATTAAGAGTTATTTAATACTTTAACATAGTGGTAATGTATGGATAATAATATAACATAATTATAAACATGATGCAGACATTTTTTAATTTCATATACTTCACTGTTAGTATTCTGTAACACATACATTGTAACATTGTACATTGTAACTATCAAATTGTTTATAACGAGTATATCATGACTCGTCCTACCGAATCATATTAAAAAAACCTGTAAAGTATATTCTTTTTTCGTGTCAAAAGTAAACTGTATGTTTGGCGGAAATTTCATCTAATAAAGGCCAAGCAATATCGTCCCTCCCGTCTATCGGTTTTTATTATGAACGTTGTAGAAATAGCCATATGCGGTCGGCGACCTCATATATTACTATTGTAAATGACGTAACAAAGTACTTATATCATAATCATAGCAATATTCAGTGAACAATGCATGACTATTCACAGGAAGTGGCCCATTAAATTATTGTTGCCCGTCTATAGAAGCGGAAGTTAATTAATATGTAACTTATGTGCACACGTGCAGGCCAAAACAAATCTTCAAAATATAATTTATAAACACATTCAAATATCGTAGGCTAACTCACACATCCGAAGTGGAGAACCTTCCTCGTACCATCTCTAACAGACCGCGACAATGGCAACAACAGAACACAAAATCACTAACAGCTCCTCAGTCACATCATTCCAATGTTTGATTTGTATTGAGATAAACACACGTATTTACACGGCCCACTGAAAACGCCATCGCGCGTTCGTTTGCTCAGCGAATCCGCGCGCAAACTTGGCAATCGGTCTCCGCGAAAACGCTCATCTCACCGCGTGGCGTCCTTAAATATAGAGCGCGGCAGATCGGTTCGCTGATTCCTCCTCACAAAGCGACGGGTGTAGAAAGAGCTTGGGTGCTTTTTGGTAGGTTTAGTCGGAGAGTGCAAGTATCGAATTCGTTCGGACGCATTCGTGTTCGCTTTTGGTCCTAGAGGGCGCGCGTACGCAGCAATGTCGACCGGCGCGCGCGTGCTCGCGTCGACGCGCCCGACGACCAAATGATAACAGGCCCAGTTTGTGATACAAGGCGCGAGCTTCGCGGCCATCGCGGCAGTTCCCCGCTCCGTCTGGCGTTGGTGTCGTGCCAACGCGGTTCGCGAACCAAACGCAAAACGGTCTGGAGGCAAGGTCGCGCGCACAAACGGCCCGTTAGCGAAATAATACTACGCGTCGTAATAAACACATCGATTGGGCGGCACCCGCGGCATCTGGCAGTGAGCTCTATACAAGTATGATAAGGAAATACTACTGAAAACGTTTGTTGTTCATAATGATGTGTCAACAAGTCGATAAGTGTGTCTTGCGAAAATGTTTTGTTCAGATGTAGGAAAATCAGGATAACATTTTTAATATGCTAGAACAGACTCTACCACTCAAGTCTCTACCAGTGAAGGCTTATTCATTACGGGTGGTTGTGTAGTGGGTCAAAATTTCGACCTAAATTGGAACTTTATTCATTTTTATCGTTTTCTTACGGCAATCTCTACTTTGAGCTACCGTTTTACCACAGACTGTATTTGACATTGACATTACGAACGTAAGCAATTAATCTCCATATAAACTTCGACTATGGCAAATCTCCTCTATGCCCGCAAAATCATTTAACATTCTTATATATTTTATACAATTAATCACATAATATGTATACTGATCGATATTCAATTTAATGGACCAAGGCCAACCACATTAAACCAGAGATATGAGAAAAACCAAAGAGTTTTTACGAGAAGATCATTAGATATACTTTATAGAGGTTAACAATAAAAAGTTATTATGTTAGTAAATTAATATAAAATGATAAAAGTTATTATTATAGCAGTGATATAGAGACTTTCCAGTAAAACTGAAATAATAAACATTCGCAGCAAATATAATTCACGACTACCAATTAAAGCCAGCAAAAAGATTTCCCCGCTGTTGTGCGTATCTAAAAATATCCACAACTCGCTCGTCATACTTCCCCGACTCATTGAGCTTACGCAGAAGCAATCTATTCCAGAATTTGCTTAACAACGCAGTGAAATAATATTTTATGGTAAACAACGCATCTGCGCAGTTTCAAGGGATATGCATTTAGTTGATCATAATACGGTTAAAATTAGGATTTTTCTTACATTTACATTTCACAGATTACAGTACAATACTTCTAGAAAAGATAAAGTTTAATCTTCTCCGTGTTTAACGGTGTTTTTTCTGGCAGATACATTTTTTACTTTTCTTTTTTTATCTTTACGGTATTAAAAATCTTTCTAACGCATACGTTAGAATGATTTATTACATACATACATTTATACAATTTACAATGCATACATTGACACAACTAATTTTGCAATTATTAAATAGTTTCATCCCTGATGCATCAATCGACGTCACCATATTTAAGAAAAATAATGTCACAACGAGATTATACCTATTCATAAACGAAGACGCACAATGTAAACCAATAAAAAAGCGGGCCTCGTGAGATAAGAGTAATGTTTATCAAGTCATAATGGCACTATTTAATCAGATGTACCATCATTGTTACATAAAGGCCTTAAATAATAGGATCCCGGGGCGTTAGATGATATGATACCACCTTGACAATACTTTCTGGCAACTTCTAATAAATGGTGCTGCCATTAATAGCGATTACTTAAAAATCTATATACGAGATTGTGTGATATATTCAACTCAGACTTCCATGACAGTTGACACACTAGACTTACATGATTAATGGTCATAACATTAGCAACAGATGATGAAACAGTTAAGTATAGAACCTCGTGAAAAAAGTGGTTTGTTTACATAATTATGTTGTTATTAGCCGCGACTGGTGACAAGAGATCAGGTTCTTTTCTCGCTCACAGTTTAAGCATAACTACTGAGCGAGGAAATGCAGCTAGCGTTCTTGGCACTATGCCGCGTGGACTAGGTTTATTAGATAATATTTAGTTTTAGATACATAAACCCCATTTGAATTGATCATTCTCATCATTAAGAAGATCACTCTGATCAATTCAGAGAGTTTAACCATCCTTTTGGCAACTAAATGACATTAGAAAAACCATTTGACAGCTGATTAGTTGATATCTACGATGATCAGTGTTTCGGAAACCGAGCGTTAATGTTGTAAATGTTGGATAAATAAAAAGTGTTCTTTCCAACATTATTCAATGCGACAAACGACACGACGTCACCCAGTGAGGCTTTAAAACAACCCATCGTCATTCGGCACCGGCAATAGAGCACCACTCACCTATTATGCAGGTCAACCGGCTTGGCCATGGTGAACTCCTTGGCGTGGACGTTCAGCTTGTTGGTGGCGGTGGTGGTGGTGGGGGTAGCCGCGCCGGTGCTGGCGGCGGACGACGCCGGCGCCGCCACGCCGTCTGTGCGCACGCCTGGCGGTCAACGGCGGCAGTCAAGAGAAGAGGTGACAGGATAGAGGGGTTGCGGGGCGACTGATGCGATAGATGGAAGAGTGAGTGGTGCAAGACAGTTGGTGCACGTTTGTAGCTAGTGGTGGGATCGAAGTTTAAAAGTGGAAAAGTATGAATGACGGTTCTTGAAGTTATGAGTTTACTTATCGCAGCATGACGCGTCAACGGAGTTATTAACAAAAAAAAATGCTATCTGGATCAATTATCAACGGTATAAAATTATATATCAGCGAATCCGCTATAAGAATTAAGCCTACAACGAGGTGTATTAAAATACCATCTCACCGTCTAGTAATCAAAATCTAAAATTGTCAACTAGCGATCCGCCCCGGCTTCGCACGGGTGCAATGCTGAATGTTTTTTTTCGACATCGCATTAGATACCTCTAAAATTATCACTGTATATAATATATCAGTCTATTATTCTCTACTATATTATGCATGAATTATACATATAAACTTTCCCCTTGAATGACTATCTATTAAATTCCGTTGCATAGTTTTGAAGATCTAAGCATATATGGGGACAGACAGACAGCGGGACACCTTTGTTTTATACTATGTATATCTCATTTGTTGAACGCAATACTGTAGATAAGAAAATAGACTATACTATAAATTAAAACAAAATAACATAAGGGCTCTGCAAAGAACATACCTCGTTAGGCAGTATGTTCAGTTTTCTTAGCATTGGTAATTTAACGATCATCAGAGCAAAAGACAACAGAATTTTAGCCATTCGATATCCCGGTATTAGTACATACGTTTTCTCCAAATTAAGTCAATTGGTGGCCAATAAACGCAGAGCAGAGCAGGCCGAGCGAGACTGAGTCACCGCGCGTGTGGGAACGTCAGTCACGGTCAAACGCGCAGACTTTCCAAGATATGCGAATGCTACATATCTCAATTAAAAAGGCGTAATGATTATTGTGGATTAAACTGTTGAATCTTTAGCCGACGGCAGACGTCAACTATACCGCCTCACTATCATCAAATTGTATTTTTCTTCGATAAAGTATTTTATGTGAAAGTGCTTCACAGCAGCTTCTACTGTTGCAGGAATTACAACGGCCTCACAAAATACCGGTGTGAAGTATTACACTTCCGCGTTTTCTCCGGGGAGTAAAGGAATCAGAGTCCACTTTCTTATTGATATGAAAAGCATCTGGAACCCGTCCAGCGTCGTAGATGTCCAGAGGTGAGGCTAAACGGTAATGCTATAGTTGTAGCCTGAGAACATGCCTGTGAAATACTATAGGGCTGTAGTGGCGACGCAAGTATCGTGCTTCGTGGCAGTCTGTAGGGGAGGGCTATATTCAGCAGTGGTTTTACAAACCGAAATGATGATCTCTCTCGATAGCTATCCACTCTCAATGGGCCTGACAACTCTCCACGTGTCCTGTTCTTTAGTTTAACGTTTTATGTAAACTAATACAAAAACCCACTACAGACAGTTTCCATATTCGGATTTTATTAAAGTATATATACTTTACACTCGACCGCCCCGGCTAATTGTAAAGATGTCAAGTCCAGTGTAAGCAATTTCAGTCTCGCGATCCAATTCGAGTGGCCAATAAAAATTTTACAACTTCGAACACCTATTTACATTGACGCTTTAAAATGAGCATCTATTGATAATACGTAGTTTAATATCATCTAACGATATCAATGGATGGGATCGAGGACGTCCTCGTGAGTCTTTGTTAAAAACATCGTAACTAATGTTCACGGTGGCAATATCAAAAACTGTACAAAATTATTGGCAATTCCAGTTTGTCCTTATTTTGTTATATTGTGTAAAGTGAAAGACGTTCGGGGTGTATCCCCGTCAAGAACGTCTTTCTTTAGGAAATAATTTAGAACAATCTACTTACAAAGGTAACAGCAGCGCCATAATGTATTTTTATAATGTGGCAATTTATTATGAATTGATATTTCCGATCTCATTCCTCAAATTTGTACTAATTACGTACATCCTTTGAAACTTGCGATTAATTAAATGGTGTCTTGTGACAATCTATCATGTGAAGCCAAGTGTTCAATATAAGAACACTGATGAAATTTTAATAAATTTTTAAATACTGCTTTTATTAAAATTATTGACATTGCTTTAGGCTTTTGTTTGGGTGTACTCCCTTTTCATTAAAACATAGAACCTATTTAGTATGTATAACAACGTTTATTTCTCGCCTTTCATATTGCATACTTAGAGAAACCATTTAGAAATTAACACGGGCTTTATGTATTATATTAACATTGTCCCAATACGAAATTAAAAACTGTGTGAAAAACCTGAACTTTCTGTTGTCACATTGGGCACGTCCGCCGGCACGACTGACACAGTGGGCACCGTCACAGGTGAGGCAGGGGCTACTTGGGGCACTGGCACTTCTGGCATCGGCTGAGCCAACGACTGCTTCACTATACACCGCGACATTTCTTATTTCTCAAGCACATCGAAATAAACAGACGCGTCGACATTCGCGGCCCACTGACACAAACATCGGACTGTCGGCGCGTTCCAAATATGAAGTTTTGTTTATTTTTAATTTTGGCGCCCATTTTACTCGACGACGCTTGCCAGCTAGCACTTCCCACAGGCTAATGTAAACTCGGATCGTATGCGATTGTGTAAAAATATAACACTCGTCAAACTGTCATTCATAATATTGTTATCTATTTTTTATGGTCATAATAGTCATAAATTAAGTAGGCATTATTTATTTATTTTATTGTCACAACGTTTTTAATATTTGTTTTTAACACGTTTCTTCTCACGCTTTGACAATGTCCTAATATGTGCGTGCATGTTGCTTGTTAGTATATAAATGTGGGGAAATTTAGGACATACCATGTTAATGTGAAACTTATATTTCAACCAACCTGGAGGTCTGTAGATTTCAAGCGTGGGTTTTCCTTTAGCGTTAGTCAGAATCATACTTCGCCGTTTCCCATTGTTCGGAAACTGTAAAAAAACAATACTTATTATTTGACGTAAACACGTACAGTCAATCCCGAAAATGTATTTAACTGTTGTAATAAAAGTTGAAAGTTTTAAGAACATTCAATATGTAACTTATATATTAATAAAATATGTAAATATAAATGTGAACATAACAATTTGTAGTAATAAATCAACAATATAATTTACAACAACAAAGAATACAAAGAGATCTTGGAATCAATGTATACAGCGTGTCGTTACCATCGCGACAATAAATGAACACACGTCTAACGCTACTTGCCAATTATCATAAAAAATAATAACGTTAAACAAAATCCATAATTAAAAAAAAAATATTTTTCAAACAAACTAAAGAAGTAAAAAAGAAACAAAATTGTAACATCCTATACAATTCGCGCCACAGCGTCGTATTACAAGCCTCTCCTTCTAACGGTATGTTTTGTCTCTTTTAAATTCATTCAACCCATTCATATGCTTTGTGACCTTTACAAATGAACTTTACGTTACAGTTTTATGTGTAAGGGTGTTCTAAAATTGTTTGTTTTGTAAAATTTAATAACTCGGTAAATATTGATGTTTGAAGAATGTAAATGTTTAATAAAATTTAAAAAAGTTATCCTCTATATGTATGTTCATTTATTGTCGCGGTGGCAACGACACGCTGTATATTAGGGATACAGTAGTGTATCTCGTTTCTTAAATAAAAAACTAGTGAGTCAAAATATATAAATACAGAAATTTGACATTCTTTGTTTGGACACATAGCACAAGTATCTACAGAATTAGAAGTAAAACTCAAATGCTAAGAAACAATGTAGAAAAGCACATTAAGATTTTCGTCGGTGTGGCAATCAGCCGTTTAGCTCAGTGGCTAGAGCGTCAGACCGCGAATGCCGAAGACGTGGGTTAGATTCCCACAGCGGCGACAGTCTTTGCGTTCTTTTTCTACATGTTTTTTTGAGATTAGCACTATAAAAAACTTTAAAAGTTATAAAAAGCAATGGCGACATCTCTCGTTCGAATTATCGTTGTAAACCGATATACGAAATTGTTTGTATGCTGGAAAGGACATAACAATAGATGCGCCAAGCATTGCTTCAAATGCTAAATAACACTGTAGAAAGAAGGCGTTAAGATTTTCGTCGCTGTGGCTATCAGCCGTTTAGCTCAGTGGCTAGAGCGTCAGGCCGCGAGTGCCGAAGACGTGGGTTCGATACTGCACAACCTTCAATGCACTTTGATGTTTATAAATAATGGGATCAAAGTATTTATTTATAGTTACGGTTTTTCACATGCTCTTAGGCTGTTCATATATCCTTTTGTTGAAAGGTGTTTTGTTTTTAGTTATCAATTTGTTATATTCATGTCATTTATTTTTGATTTTTTTTGTGTTGTTTGTTGTTTGTCAAAATAAAGTTTATGTTTATATCTATGTCTATGTCTCATATACAAAATGAGCAATTTGTGGAAAATAAAAAAAAACGATTTAGAACAGGGTTACTAAAGCGATTGAAGAAAAAACTTTAATCCAACTATAGGCTGCGGTTGCGGACAACAGTTTCTGACCGTAAATAAGCGATTGCGGGTGAATAAACATTCGCATCAAGCAACACTGACATCGTAATTACATAATTTTGATGCATAGATTTGCGACGGTTGCCTGACGGTCGTGTGTATTTCTCCACAATCGCACAGAATCCCAGTACATGCCTCAGTTTGACGAGCTGTCACGTCTTATTTTAGAATATGCGCTAAACAAGATCTTTCTTGTTAGAGTCATCGCGCAATATAATGCCGAAGAGCATCTTACTCATAACTGGAAGAAAACGAGCTATTCTAACCTGTTAAATTCTTACATAAATACTGTTTAATCAGTTCTATCTTTCCCACGCGTACCTGTTTCTCGTTGGGTTTTAAATATTTGAGTATTTTATTCAAACAGAAACATGACAAAATATGCGCTCTTATTTTAATCTATATCCATCATCTTTATTACAATATATTTCCTAGAACTCTTATCCGCTATGTCATATTGTCTAATATTAAGAAGGCAATCAAGTCCTGTACACTATGTGGGCAGATTTGTATGACGCTTTTCGCCTACACCCAATGTCCCAATGCCACACCGCGTTTAAATTAACACTTAATGCGCATTTTAGGTTGTGCAAATGAAATATTAAGTATTTACAAGATTGGCTTAATATTTATGCTATTGTTATCGCAGGTTAAAAAGTGTCGAAGAAACTGTTAAGATCTGCAAAAAGTGCATAATTAAATCCGTCTAAACAAAACTCTAAGACTCGAATCATAGCGACATCTATTGGTTACTAATTAAAAATTTTGTACTTGCACTAAATATTCTTGTATGTATAACTCCATTAGGGTGGCGATAAAAGAGATTGACCGCGAAAATTTGTATTTTTATCCACTTAACAACAATGTATAGTAGATGAATAAAATATATATAGATAGGTCGTCAAGTAAATAGATTTTAACCAACCTGGCCATGATGCACATTATGATGGGACTGCGGCCGAATGAAGCTCCTCTCCCTCATTATGACGCCGGGCGACGTGAAATCCTGCATTCTGTAGCTCCTCTGCAACTCACCCCCAATTCCCATCTGGGTCTGCATTTTGCTCGGTCCCAGAAATTTGAAAGCCCTACGTTCGTTATGAGAAGTTCCCTCGCAGTTCCCGCCTTTTTTGACAGTTCGCGCGCTCAGGACGTCTGGACGTCTTCAAATCTCTTTGGTTATTCGCGCTCTTGTATTCAGCGTTTTTAAGCAATTTTGCACAATTATTATTTTTTTCCTTTCCAAGAAGCTCTTTAAAATAATATTAAGGGCTATCGATTAAAGAGATTATTAATACAATAAATATACACTAGATGAATGACTAGTATTACAGTTACGATAAATCGTTTTAATATATTTTTTTTTATTTGTTAAATAATTATTTAATATTTACAAATAAAACGAATAAAAGTGTTAAAGCGGGAAATATACATTCAAATGCGTGTGCTAACCAAGAAAGCTTTAATAATATTAATTAAAAAAAAATAATCACAATGCTGTATTGTGACGTCACATTAGAGATCAAAACTCCGGTTTATATATGCATATATAAATCTAACAACAACGAAACCCCATCTGTCGTGGCCACTGATAGAGGGATTTCTGGACGACTTTTTCGAGATTTTCTTTTTTTTCGTTTTTCTAATACGACTTATAAAGAGCGGTGCAGGTTTGCTTGTTGCCTGACAGTCACAGAGCGATTTTTACAATATTTCGAGGGGGCGAGGAAGCAGCGGCTTCGGCACCAAACTCGAATCGTTTCGTAGTAGGGGTTCTTCGAACCCAAATCTGCAACAAAAGACATTGCTTGGTTATCAATCGATGAATCTTCTGACTTTATGTTATAATATATACGCATCTTCGTAATGTCGGGACCAGCAGCGACAGTATTGTACATTATTATGAACTGCACTTCATTAAGATTATGATATCCATATCATAATAGATTATGATATCCATATCATAATATTAATAATGGTTATTTTTTTATTTTGAAAGCCTTGTAATTATCTTTCCTACGGAGTACTTAATCTAAATCAAAATCAATTAAAATGATATAAAATTAACCGGCTGAGTATATTATGATTAGTCTATAGACTAATCATAATATACTCAGTCGGTTAATTTTATTTATATCTTTATTGCAATTACCGTAAACAAGTGTTTATGAGGGTGAACTTATTGCCTTTTGGCATTCTCTTCCAGTACATATTATAGTGGTGTCGAACTAACAGCGTGATCTTTTTAGTTCCAAACAGACGTCCCATCCATTTGTACGTGATTTAGTCAATCTTGATTAATCTGCATATAAGCGGTTTCAAAAGCAGAGTCAGTATTTTTACTTCATTCAGGTTTGTTTGAAATTATGGCGTGCTCTTATTAACGTGACCAGAAATAAATCGGCAAGAACAAATATATGCACAGATAAGAGATACTGCAATCTTATCTGCGTCCCTATTTTTGCACTATTAATTGACAGGCCCAAAGCGAACCTATGGTAGATTTCCTTGACGCATAAGATCTAAAAAAGACTACTTACAGATAATAATTTTCTACTCAAATAATTATCGATACCGAACAAATAAATCTCGGATACAAAAATGAAAAATAAAATATTTTGAAAACCAAAAACACATTTTACACTTTACCAGTCGTGTTTTTCGAATTGCGAAGGCCCCATTCGGTTTGCATTGTCGCAGTTTGCGCGGCGTTACGGCGGAACCGGTTAGCGGAGTATCATTGCGGTGGGATTAAAAAAAAGGAAAAGAGCGATAAGCCGGCCCTGGCTTCGTTCGGGTCGAAAGGCGCACCGAACTGTTCAATGCACTCGACAAAAACACGAGAAGAATAGCCACCGTTCTAAATTGCGACACGAGATTCGGGCTTGTGTTTATAACTACGCCGAGTATCGAGGCATTGAAAAAGCTGTTACTGAGGTAGTGCGTTTACCATCTAAGATTACATATTACTTACTGTTAAGTGAGATTGTCAACAGTCTTCGTTGTTGCACGAATGGGCAGGTCCGTCCGGGTAAGCACACCACCTTACAGAAGACCGGCGTAAAGTGGAATTGCTAAACTTCTGCGTTTCGTCTGGTCAGTGAAGTAGACGGGGCCCACTTATTATAAGGCGGCAACGCATCTGCAACGCTCCGGGTGTTGCAAATGTCAATGGGCGGCGGTTATCACATAAATCAGGCGCACCGCCAGCTCGCTTGAACAATAAGCACTGGAGGTTTTTGAGTAAGAAAGAAGCCCGAAAAAGGTTCGAATCTTCAAGGCGGGAGTAAGTTGGTTTCTATTGATCCAATACGTTAAACACATGAGTATACATCACTACTCACCCCACCATTAAGTGAGATGATCGTCTAGCAAATGTGCTTATAACTAGATAGAGTTGGCCAGTAATATAAATGATTACCACCGCCAATGCACACGCGCAACACCAAAGGACATTGAAGGCAGATGCATAGCCGGCATTTTCATTTTTTAAATAAATACGAGTTGACGGGGTTTTTAGTTTATATTATTATATATATTATTGCAGTACGCAAGCATTAGACAATAATGGAGCCACAATAATGGTTTAATTTTGGTTCTACGTTTCCATTGTTAGTGTTAGCGTCTTACACAGAACAGACTCTGGTCATGCATAATAAAATGTTGAAACTGTTCTAACTGAAATAATTGAGAAAATTAAAAATGAAATACTGAATTGCGTGAATACAAGAAACGATTTCAATGTTAGTTCTCGCTCGAATTCTTTAAATTAAAAAAAAATGTAATTGATTTAAATGCGCGTTTATATAAATAAGCAGTTTGCAAACACCAACTGAATCGAGAACTCACAACTCGCTGCTAGGAGACGTTACTACGCATTTAATAATTGAATGTCCGCTCATGTTTATAAACTCTATTTCTGAACACGTGGACTGTCTGTAATTGAATAGTTAGACGTAACAAAATCCATGCATACATTATCGAGGTATAATGTACCAAAGTACATTATATCATGATAGCATACATGCGTATTATTAAACACATCGTCTCTCTGTGTCACTGTCTATTCGCGCGTTTATAGCATCGGAACCACTAACGCGATTTGCATGATTCTTTTGCCAGTATCGAAATACGTAAACTTACAGCCAAGTTCATTACACAAATAAGTATAAGTGTGGAGCGAGTTAAGCCACGGACATAAATTTGAAAATATTATCTGTGTAACGTCTAGTTAATGCGTTAATTAATACCGGGCCACGCCTTTGAAAGGCATGACCGAACCAACCAAGAACTCAATGTCAGCGGGCATCTATTAATAGATTTTATTGGTAGCATTATTTAGGTTCCTTTCGTACATGTGTCGGTCGGGTTCTATCAGGTCCGTTTTCAAAAACGCTCCAACATCTACGACGACGGGGTCCTAAATCCCTTTGCGACCTGTGGCATGAGACCGAAGAAATAGAAGCGTCACAGAAGTCTGGTGTAAAGCGAGAGTACGTACACGGTGGCTTTCCATCTGAGGATGAAGAAGCCGGGTACACTTAATCATCACCATCGATATATCATCACCTTGTCATAAACAAAATACATTATGAAATGGTAAAATTGATATTAATGTTAAGTTTCCCTTATTGTTTTATGATTATAATCATGATCTCAATTTTTCGATGGTTAATAAGGAAGGCTAATCGAATCGCAGTTCAAATCTCTAATAAGAGAAGGAAAATCCACTATGAGTGCCTTAAATTTTAACAGATATTTTGACTTACAAAAAACCGGCCAAGTGCGAGTCGGACTCGCGCACGAAGGGTTCCGTACCATTATCTATAAATCGGCAAAAATCATGTTTTTTTATGGAAGCCCGACTTAAATATTTTTTATTTTGTTTTACAGTATTTTTTTGTTATAACGGCAACAGAAATACATAATTTGTGAAAAATATCACAGTGCAGCCTGGTGACAGACGGACAGACAGACAGCGAAGTCTTAGTAATAGGGTCCCGTTTTACCCTTTGGATTTGGTACGGAACCCTAAAAAACGCCTCGGGTCAATGTGTGTCGACCAGAATAAGTCATTTCTTATGACGTGACGTTTTCGACTTTAATTCGCTTTCCTTTGCAGGTTGCAGATGACACCATTGGTTTGTTCTGCGATTTTTCCAAGCATTTGAGCGACAACATAATGTAATGCTGATTAGGAAATTGAAATATTGTGGTATTGGTATATTTGCCATTGACTTTGTTTCCTCAAAGCTTACCGATGGTAAACAAAAAGTAATAATACTTTGTCATCGGGTTCATTAGTACAAATAGGTGTTCCCCGGGATCAATCCTGGGTCCGTTTCTGTTTTTAGTTTATTTTAATGATTTGTTATATATGGTAGAAAAGAGTTCTCAAATAGTTTTGTTTGCGTATGACACTTCACTGTTGTTTGAACATAAAAGAAAGGATGAATCAGTGACAATAAAATACTAGATGTTGTTTTAGGCTAATTTGCAAAAAATAATTTACTTTTAAATTCTACAAAAGTAAATGTATAAGATTTACGCTTTCCAAGTTAGAGTTGGACAAAATATAACGCTGAAATGAAAAGATACAAACACCTCTTTTCATGTTGATGATATATATCAATCTTCTTAATAAACCTCTTTAATGAACTAGAAAACCGCATCCGGTTAAGGAGCGATACGGGCTGTCTATGGCTTAGGCCCACGTGAATCGCTATGGCATCTTTATTCAGGAAATGAATGTATTAACGTTACTGTTATACAGATTCGAGAAGAATATGTATGTATGTAATAACATCCAGCTTTTTACCAAAAAACATACAACATCGCGTCAGGTGGTAGTGACACCCTGGAAGTAACAAGGTTTAGATTGGTTAAAACCAAGAATATCGTTTATTTTTATGTATTAAATATATAATCAAATTTGTCACCATCATGCTCCTGCCCTTATCCCACCTAGGCAGGGTCGGCACCACACAATATTGTACGCGGTTTTGGCTATGTTTTTTACGACCGACCATCTGCCTGACTACAACCCTACTTTGCCCAGCCGATTTTATAATTTACAAATTTGTAATTTTTATTAAAAAAAAAATAGAGAACAAGACTGCAGTTTCTTTCCAGTTGTTCTCTAGACAGAGCTAAATTAGTGAACCGGTGTCAGACGTCAGTAACTTTTTTTTTAAGTTGAATAAGAGCTTTAAGCAAACCTATATGGAATAAAGAACTTTTAACTTTAACTTTGAAACTTTCTTTACAAAGATCATATTAAGAGAGATCGATATCAACTTAGCTATTTAAAACCAGCATTATTGGCGGTGCGAGCCAATTTCGTTTAAAAAAATTGTTTACAATAGTTTCCTTTTTCCTTCGTGTTTTAAACAACAAATATACAAAAAAATATTGGCAAGAAACCTTCGGGTGTAAATAGAGCAAACTGATTTCATCGCAATCGGATGAATGGTTTAGGAACACATAGAGCACAAACATTCAACAAACGTTCAAATTGTTATCTGTTGCTATACATTACTATTTGTGTGTATATTATTTTTTATCTGTATAAATTACTTTTATGTGGTATTGCACGTTGTTTTTCGAACTAATTCTTAGATAATTTTATATGCTTTATAACAATTTAACGGAGCAGTTATTATTTTGGTCAAAGCATCTATCGACAATTACCTGCATGTTAAAAAGCAATCCTCCTATCGAAATTGCAAGATGAAGGACAAAATGGCGGCTAAAATAGAGTTGAGCACTCACGTTCATAGCAGCGATTAGCTCATATGTAATGGCCGCTTCTAAAAAACATTCGGTAGGTGTTTAGCTATGATGTTTTTGGTGACATTTAAATCACTCTGTACTTCCTTTTTTGAAAGTTCAATGACAGAACGGATCTTTGTGTAAGTAAGTACTGTAAAGTTCTTAAATACACCTACTTTTCTTTAATTAAACTTAACAAAGATTAAGCATAACTATTCAACGAGGACATGCAGCTAGCCTTCTTGGCATGGTTTCGTGGATTAAGTTTATTAGATAGGTAATATGTAACTTAACAAGATTTAATATTTCAAAATATTGGTTTGTAAATTAAACTTTCAAATATTTCGAACATGACAAAAATTGCAGCAGCAGTTAGCTTAGCTCGCTTCAAAATGATAAAATACTACGCAGTTAACATATTATATTGGCAAAACGAACGCGAGGGATTGAGATTCACTCACGAACGTCATTCAACGGTACACGCCTAGCATTGGTGACTCACCGCTCTCTCGTTGTGCGCCGTCCGTCGTCGTGCTCTGCACTCGAGACTCGTTCACTTTACTCGTATTTGATTCACTGCGGACAGGAGAAATACATTTCATTAAAGCTTCTTCATTAACCAAGAGAATAAAAAATCTGCTAAAAACTAGACATCTGACAATTGCAAGACTATACTCATGACTTCTCAAATAAATCCTATATTCATGAAACATTTACACCCAGTTTCCGAAAGCGTAACCAATTTTAATTTACGATAAATCTCTTGTCAATCGCTGTTTAACATGATCTGAGTTGCTATTTTTTTTTTTTTTTTTTTTTTTTTTATGTGAAAAGTTGCCAAACGAGCAGACGGTTCCCCTGATGGTAAGTGAATACCGTCGCCCATGGACATCTGCTACACCCGAGGGTTACAGATACGTTGACAACCTTTTGAAAATTAGGCTCCGGCTACCTCACTCACCAGACGAAACGCGAAAGTATTTGTCATACTTCCACTTTACGCTGGTCTTCTGTGAGGTCGTGGTGCTTACCCGGACGGGCCTGCCCATACGTGCAACAGCCGAGGTTGCTGCTGCGTGGCCCTACCACCGTTAAAACGTCTTAAACAACATTGATTTTGATTTGCAATTAGTCACTGATTAACGGACAATCAAAGAAAATCGAGTTTCTGAAAGCGTTTTTCGGTGGTCAAAGAGCTGTCAAAAGTTTTATTAAGTAATCTGTCAATTTGGACGATCAATCGTTGGTTTCAAATGTTATTTATCAAAAATCTTAGTTTTTATTAAAAATAAACATAATTCCCTAATACGTTGTTAGGACATTCATGTATTCTATTACCTATTTATTATTTATTATTATGCGAACATATCATGTGATTAGAAAAAATACAAAATGCAATTCAAAAGTTAATAAATAATATGGATTCTTTCTTTTTTATAATACTTACTTGTTTATTATTGATAAAAGTTCATTTTTTTCACGTTCTGTAAAGTTTTTTTTTTTTTACATTTTGCATGTATTTATATAAATTAAATTTTATTATAGCTCGGATTTTTACGTTGGCAATCACACGGTGACAGGACTGGATAGTGACGTTAATTAAAGTTTTGTTTAAAAAGGGACAGCTATACAATAGAAAGAGTAAGTTGAAGTAAATCATTCATTTCATTCATTATCATTGGTTATACAGTGATTAGCTAATTTTTCTTGAACAAACCTTCCAGAAACCCAAGGCAGTTTAACAAGAGATTAACAGCTGATCATTTTTGACATAGTGTTAGGTGATTGCTGCTTAGATTGGCCTTTCGGAAACTGGGCATTAGTATTGCGATATGATACGGTCTTTTGTTATAAATTATAGCTTTTTCAAACTGTATTAGCTTTTTCAGGCTATTATCTAGTCATTACAACTATGTAGAGCATCAAGCAACCTGCCTGCCGTGATTATATTTATATTACTACTCTAATTAGAGGTCCAATTATATTTTATGCCTCTTTATTTAAAAAGTCTGTTCATTAAACCGCCGCTAAATATCGCGCATTCAAGTGAAAGTGCAACCGGTGCATTTTGGAGTCTTGGATAAATATTAAGCTTAAAAATGTTTAATGCTTTACACTTCTCAAGCCCGAGAGACTTTTACTTTTTTAGGGTTCCGTACCCAAAGGGTAAAACGGGACCTTATTAGTAAGACTCCGCTGTCTGTCTGTCTGTCCGTCTGTCACCAGGCTGTATCTCATGAACCGTGATACTTAGACGGTTGAAATTTTAATGGACACTGCTCACTTAAATACTATCTCAAATAAAGCATTATCATAATATCAACCAATTTATTTACTCAACACATTTTATTGTTATTAAACAGGGCATACATTTCTGTTATAATTATTCTAAATATTCTTCCACGGAGTAAACTTCATTTTCTTCTAAATAACAAGATTTAAGGTTATTCAGTTAGATTTTTTTTTAGGTGATTTATTATATCTTTAATTGCCATTTAGTTGGATCGGGTGTTTAATATTTTTATACGTGAATGTGGTAAACATAATTTATTTTTGTCGTGTGTTTGTGATATGTATACCTTTGACTGTTTCAAAGAAATGACTATTTTTAAAAACAAAAAGACACAAATCTTTCATGTTAATAAAGTTAATATTTTAAGTTTCTTGAAATAAGGTGCACGGATGGAATTATTATCTATGTGGGCCAAGATCCTTATGCAAACCGGACATATTTTAAATTTGTAAGTGCCAAAGATAGAAAGGTATAAGTAAACTTGTCGTAGACTTAACAGTAACATAATTACTCTACAAAAGACTAAAATTTAAAATTAATAAAATGCAGTACGGTCATTACTCAAAACCGATCAAATATACACAGCGATATATCATTACACGTCGTTTTAAGAAACGATCTAAACGTCTTGAGAAAGCATCACCGAACTGCCGGTAAATACATGGTTTTCGAAGTTCGCAGTTTCGCTACGGATTGGTAACCGGAGACCTACTCTCATAAACGTTGGTAAACAGCAAACAGTGGGTGTTACTAGTGCAAAGGTCGATCTGGTGAAAGCTTAATGTTGGCAACGATTGTTGAATGAATATAAAACAATAACGACTCGAGTCACGTTATTAGGTTGATAAATCATAATTTAATTTTTTTATTGCAATGACAGTTTTGACAAAATAATACGAATAGTATCTCCATGAAATTTTCTGTTAACAATCCGGTTAATAATAATGACAATAAAATAATTCTGTTATGAAGACATGAAAGTCTTAAATTACGTTAAATTTTCAAGACTAAGTTTATAATGATATTTTTCTTTTCTGTAAGACAATAATTTTCGCCGCCCCCTAAAGTCTACCGCCATAGGCTCAAGCCTACTTAGCCTGCTAGTGAAGCTGGTTCTGGATTGGAAGAGCTCATTACGTAGTGGTGATACATTGCCGTGTCTTTAAAGCGCAGCCTATAAGTTTTGTAATAGAAACTACAATAAGATAGAGATCGTCGGAACGCGAATTCAAAAACATTTGTTGCCTTTTCCTCCATTTACATGAAGCTTTTAAAACATAAAACTTATCTGTTTTTCACTGCTCTCTTTGCGGACTCATACAAATCTTTCATAATTTTTTTGATGTATAATATACGTTCAAAAAATTCCGTTATCACACATTTGAATATCAGACATCTAGAGTCGCCAAATTTCACATATGCCTAGCAGTTCTGCATCGTTAGTCAAACGGCGTTTAAAGCAATGCCTCAGAACGGTTCCGTTTCACTAGTTAAGTTTTACAAACTAATTAACCAGTTGCGCTTAGCGAACCGTGGAGCTGATAACAAACTGGCCTCCATATATAACTGTGCCGAAATAACGCATCGTGGAAAATAGACTAAATGCTTTCATGTCTGCACCAGAATGTCTTTTGAAGTGTTGTCTGTCGCCTGTCTAGCCCTCAAAGTCAAAATATCTTTATTCAATGTAGGCTTAACTTAAGCTCTTATTGAACGTCCAAAAAAACTACCACCGTTTCTAACCTTCAACATTACTAATGTTAAACGAAATACCTCGGCGATGTTTGAATGAAATCAAATCACGACGTAAGCTTATAACTATTTTTATTATTATTTTTTTAATAATATCTATAGTTTTGTGTAATATATTTATATCCAAAGCATATCATTTTACAGATACTACGGTCAGGGCTGGAGCGGAAGTAGACCCAGATGAAGTTTATGTATTTGTCCAGTTTGCTGTTAAAAGCTTTGATTTGTCGGGTCAACCAACATCAAAATTTTTTAAATGTTTGCATCCTAGAACTAGAATTATCATTGCGGTTGGTTAAGAGGGCTGGTTAAGCATAACTGTTCAGCGAGGAAATGCAGCTAGCGTTCTTGGCACAATGCCGCGTGGTCTGTTTGTTAGATAATGTGTAATTTCGTGTTAATATGTTTTACTTGATAAATATGTAATTTTGAAAGGAAGCTATGTAGCTATGTACAGTTATAACTTCAATAAAACCGTTGTTTTAACCGGTGTAAAAACATCCTGTTTATTCTAGTTTTAATTTGCAAGCGAGCCAGTGGTTCACTAATGGTAAGTGATAACCGCCGCCCATGGACATTTGCAACACACGTAGGGTTGCAGATGTGTTGCCCCCTTTTAATAAAGTTGACCACGGGTACCTCACTCATCAGACGAAACGCAGAAGGATAATACTTCTACTTCACGTCGGTCTTCTGTGAGGTCCTAGTACTTTCCCGGACAGACCTGCCCATTCGTGCTGCACCGTAGACTGTTGCGGGCCCCTACCACAGTTAAAATTGAGAACCTTTGAACCTTGAAAGTAATTATAATCTTTCATTGGACTGTAAATAAAGTAAAGTAACAACCTATATACGTCCCAGTGCTGGGCAAAGGCCTCTTTACACATAGGATATTAGGGCCATATTCCACCACAAGACCCTACTGCCGATGGGCGGCTTTCACATATCTTCGAAATATTTATTTTGTTTATTACTTCGAAAATATGCAGGTTTCCTCACGATGTTTTCCTTCACCGCTGAGCACGTGATAACTGAGTAAATCAATCAGCACTTAAAATTTCATCAGGGGATTGATTCAGGTTGCTCGAGTATACTGAATCCAAAGCGAGCGCCCAGACAATGAGCTATCGCAGCCAATAGTATAGACTGTGGCACTACTGAAATGATATAACTTGGCGATTGGAAACGTTCCTACTCTATATTCGCTTCCGTCTAACGGGATCGTAAGCAACACGCGAACGCCTTCACTGCGTCGGACATTGAAGCCAATGTTCTATTACCGATTATTGATTTTTTTAATCGATTGAATCGAGATAAGGCTTAATCGATTGACGAAAGGTGAAAAACGTTTTGAGTACATTATAGCAAACATTTTAAAGACGTTTATAGCCCGAAAAGGCGTATGCCGACCGTTTTTAAATTATATTTTTTATTGATAAGTTATGTGTGTTGATAAGTGTGACCTAATACCATACTACTGATTATAAATAATGTTCAGTGAAAAAAAAAATTTTAAGCAATTAAATATAAT